CCCCAAAACCCCAAAACCCCAAAACCCCAAAACCCCTTTTTTGGGATTTTTTATTGATAAAATTTAATAGAAACAAAGAAAAATGAATCTGAGAGTGTGGTTTATTTTGGTAGCATACTTAGTTTGGGTATGCTATTGAGATCCAAGCAATTACCCAGTAGTATTTGATTTCTCTGGTATATATCTTCAATGATACTCTTGGAGGATTTAATAAAGAATTGATAGAAATTACTGTCACCGAAAAGGCTCAATGGGACTTAGAATCAGGCTATCTAGCTCATACAAATAACAAAAGAATAACATTTAGTGGACAAATTGAACAACAAGCAACTCCAACTTATGAATACTCTATTAATGCTTGGGTTTACTCATACAGTCGTCATTTTGATTACAGTAAATTTATATTATCACGATTTAGTGCTATTTTGTCTTCCAATAAAAGGGGAATGGAACATTTCGTCAACTGTTGGAGTTCATGATGCCACTTGCTGCTTCAAGTCAAAAGCAACAGCAAATAATAAAACTTATAATTTTGGATGCTCTCTTGATAGTGATAACACTCAAAAATGGGCAAGAAAAATAGTGAGAATTCAGACTTTATTTGCATGGCAATTTTATTCCATTCAATACAAAGCACAAAGTTCATCTTCCTTTGCACCTTCTGTAGGGGAGTTAAATATTACAGTTTGGGATCAAGACGGGTCTGTAGTAACTGAATCTATTATTTCAGCTGATATTTACTCTTACACTCCAGATTATTATTCGATTGGCCATATATCACAATCATCTACAATAAGTTATCGATTAAAAGGAGAAATTGCCAAACTTTCTTTCTATAACGAATTTAACGACGGTGGGGTTCAACATAGAAACGTCACAAACGATAAATTTAAGAACAACTATATTGCGATGTTTGATTTCCAAAATAGTTCTCAATATATTTATCAAGATAACATAATGAAGGTGTAAGTCTTTATAATAATATTTTCTTGCTCATCCGACACTCTTTCATAACTTATATTTATGCTGGGGTAGTTCAAAAATAATTATAACTAATAAAAAATCAACTTGGTATGTAATTTATCCTAAAAAAAAAGAATACAAATTGGTTTCTTTCATCTGAAGCTGATATCTAAAAACTTATTTAAGTTTAGTCATTTGGCTTCTAAATTCTAATTATTAGTAAAAGATTTATAATGAAACATAAACCGACTTATTATAAGCAAGAAAATAGAGGAAGAACCATACAAAAATTTAGCACTATTAGACTTACTTTTAATTTTACATGGAGAAAATTTCAGTTAAAAAAGATGGTAGTTTAACTATAGGATCGGAGTGGATTCTTCTGAACAGAATACAAGCTATTCAATCTCAGAGATAAATGGAAATACAAACTTAATCGTTCCTACAAGTCTCGGATGGATCTTTGGTTCTTCAACAGTATTAAAGACTTCTCTTCTCCCATTCAAACAATCAATTCAATTCATGGTCGAGGTGGAAGGATTTTGACTTGAAGCAGGATGCCAATACGGTTTTGAAATGCAGGGTAAATCCAAAACTAACATTTTAGATAATTCAGGAACTAAAGTCTCGAATAGTTACCAAATTAGCGATACTTGGAGTGCAATTTCACCATCATATAATGCAAGCTCCATTTATTTGATACCTCAAAACTTTACAGTTCTATATTTTGGAGGGTTTGCATTTAATAGTACAAAATTTGAAAACTCAATAAAAAGCAGGTACTTAAGACAGAGTAGCGATACTACAGCCAATTCATATGAGTCTATCCTTCATAATGGGGCTGTAAACCTTCCAACTGCTGATGATATCAATTTAGTAATGAACTTCGAGAAAATGATGATCAGCAAAATAAAGTTTTACAGACACGTCAAAAGTGGGCCTGATGTGTGGTCAGATCTCGAGCTATACAAAGAGTCTGATGATGCAAAGTTTAATTTTATGCAGGAATATTCAGCATATCCAGCTCCCACTGCTAATCAACCTGATGTCTGAGGTAAGAGTTTTGTGTGCTGACTGAACATTTGGTGACTTATTCTTAATAATTTTCCGACTGTTGGTCACTAGATGTAATTAAATTACAACCACTAAATTTTCCTTCTGAGATAATTGTGAAAATAGAACAGTACATAACCCCTGCAAATGTATGCCTAAAACAGGATGCAAACTCTAACATTGAATGCCAACCGGGATTCATCCAGACTAATAATTTCTGTTACGATAAATGAGGCGATGGAATAGTTCAGACTCCTCAAACAGTTGCATGAGACGATGGCAATGAGAATAATGGAGACGGGTGAAACAGCAATTGAAAAGTAGAAACTGGATATGTTTGAACAATAAACTCTCAGAACAAGTCTGAATGAATCCGATCTTGAGGAGACGCAATCAAGCAATCTTTAGAACAATGAGATGATGGGAATGACGAAGATGGGGATGGCTGAAATTCGAGATGATTTATTGAATCTGGCTATAAATGAGATTTCACAAACCCCAAAACGTACTGATTTAAAAGCTGAGGAGACCAAGAACTTGATACTGGGGAGCAATGAGATGATGGAAATTTATATGATGGAGATGGATGAAATAAGTCTTGCCAAATTGAAGGAAGTTTCAACTGAGATAACACTCAAATGCCAAGCAAATGAACTCCACTATGTGGAAATGGAGTGAAAGATGCAGGTGAATCGTGAGACGATAAGAATTCAATGAAATTTGATGGTTGTAGCGAAACATGACAGATAGAGGATTCATATGAATGCAATTATAATGTGACTTTAGGGAGAGATTTATGAATATCAACATTCTTTCCTCCAATCATTAAAAATAGCAAAAATAACATTCTGAGCTCTGAAATCCAATTTACTTTTAACGACACAATGGGGGAATTTAATTTTACAGGAAAAGAAGTATCTCTTTCGTTTACAGGTCCTGCATTTGAATATAAATGCTTTGCTGAGCTATCATATATATCTGAAACTACTCTAAAGCTCAAATACTCAATATCTCCATCCATCATTGGGGGATCTAATGAAGAACTACTAGTCACTTTTAAAGAAGTGAAAACATTTTACAGCCAAAATGACATTCCGATATCTAATGAATATGAATTCAGATACACATTTGATGTTCTTCCTTCCTCGGATACAGCCAAGGGAGCTTCATCAACTGCTTCTTTCACATTGATTATTTCATTTATCCTCTCTGTTGCCATAAGTGTTTTCACTGGTGAGTCAATGGAACAGATGTGGAGTTTGGCTAATACTCTTCAAATATTATTTTTCCTTGGTCTTCTTGAAATAAATTATCCCTCAAATTTAAGAGCAACCTTTGAGTTCATGAAATATTCAAATTTTGATAACCCCTTAACAAAGATGCTTTCTGAATGGATTTCAAATGCCCTTAATTTTGGATCTGTCCGAATCGACACTAAATTTGCGGATTTCGGTTTTGAAAGTTCTGAACTTCTTTTCAACTCTTTTGATAAAATTCTGATGATTCTTCTCATCATCTTTTCAATGTTCCTCTTCTATTGGCTAGCAAAAATAGCAGAAAGGAAAAATAAATGGTATTGGAAGCTAATCAGCAAAACTGATAAGAGCTTAAGATACGAATCTAGTTGCAGATTCATAATTGAAGTATCCATGGTCCTCTCAATATGAATTTTTATCAACTTATTTTATGGAAGATATGAAGGAACAATAGATATTATTTCATATGGATTGTCAATGATTATGCTTGGGCTACTTTGAGCAGTTTTAATTTATTGATATTTTTTTCCTCTGTGTAATTTTGAGAAAATACAAACATATCCAGACAAAGTAGAAAGACATTGTATATTATTTTTAGAGTTCAAACGATCAGACCCTAAGAAACTTCTGTTTTACTATATTTTTACTACACGGAGAATATTGCTAGCAGCCATTATTGTAGGAATAAAGCAAAAAGTATTATGCCAACTAGTCTGAATCCTCATATTGTTTTATTGGAACTTAAAGTATATGGTAGTTCACAAACCTTTTAAAAGCGCTTCTAATAATTTTTTGAATATTTTTAACGAGTCTTTTCTGTTCTGCTTTGCAATAGCTTTGGTTCAAATGACCTCATCAAATGATTCTGATATGGCTTTAATTGGATATTTATCAGTGGGTTTGATAATAATATTTTTTATGACAAATATGTCAATAATTATTGTTCTCAAATGAAGAGGAATGTGAAAGTGTAAAGGAAAGAAGAAAATTTCTAAACTTACTCACAAAAACAAAAAACCAACTAAGCCTTCAGACATTGATAAGTCTGCCTCGAACAGAAATGTTAATTCCTTGAAGAAACCTGAAACTCAATTCATTGGCAACATGGATGTAGAACTTTATATAAAGAAGTTCAAAAAAGAGGTGTCTGTATATAAAGTGCCATCAACTAAAAATATCTAAATTATAGCAGATAAGTGTTTTAACAATCAGTGGTGTTATCTTCGTTTCAATCTAAATTCCAACCTCTGGGGTTTTGGGGTTTTGGGGTTTTGGGGTTTTGGGG